CGACCCGTTGGACTCACAGCGGTGAAAGACGATGCGTTAGCTAAACTAAATTTCCTGTTATGTCTCAAATGGTATTTTGATCAAGCTTAGGTGGCAGCAGATGATTATACATTCGTTTTGTGACAAAAACAGTGTTAGGACTCGTCAATGAAACTGGCAATCTGCCCAAGTCGTGTAATAAATATTTGCTTGCTTGCTTGCCAAAATCTTAATTAAAAAACAAAGCTCTTCTCACCAGAAATGTTCTTCTCACTCAGAGCAAATGAAATTAAGCAAACACTGCTAGTCTAATGCTGGGATCTGTTGGAAGTATTCTGCCGGGAAATCATGAACAATTTAGGGACATTTTACGGCTCACGTAGACAAGGTTATATTTTTTTCAACGCTGTTATGTGGTCAAAGTTTTTATAACCTTTCGATTTCTATGATCTTCTTTCGATTACTATGAATGTCTTTCGATTAATTTTTCCTTTTCTGAGTTTGAAATAGCCGGATGCATCATGTTGTTCGGTTGCAAAGGACGCTACTTGTAGATGTGGAGCTTCAATTGTATGTAATATATACAATATGAGTGGCCGTGTTGTATCAGATATACAACCACGAGCCGAAGGCGAGTGATTGTATATTTGATACAACACGGACAAGAATATTGTATATTACTTATGAAACKTCTAGGTGTATACATTCATGTTCTACTATAATTTTAAAGATAAAATTTGATTTGGCTAAGAAAATTGGGGTTAAAGTTTATGCAAATCAGGACGATTTTGTATCAGATATACAACCTCCTCCACGGACAGTGATTAATTATTCATTAATTATTCATGAGTTTTATAAGAGTTTTTACTAATAAATAGTTTCAGAAATCAACTGGTTTTCATTTTAATTAAAATGTTGATTTACTTTAGAAACAAACTTTTAATTAATATTTAAATGTTTGAATTAAGAGAACAGCATTTGTACAATTTCATGTTTTGTTGTCAAATAATTTTTATTGCCATCATTTTGTATGGAGGTCTACTCGGGATTATGATATCCACTTCTTCAGACTTCATGTGACACTTTCCTTGTTGGTTTTTACAGAGGCCAAAAAAAAAATTTGCAGTAGTTGTTCCTAAGTCATTTCTATTACACATATTGTGTAGATCCAGAAAATATTCATACCCACCCACACAGGAAATTGGAAAWTCTAGAGGGGAAGGAGTTCAGAGAAAGAACAAAATTACAGAGTTTATATGGAAGAAAATTGGAAGTTCCTAAGGGGTACTGGGTCCTTTTACGAATTCCCTATGTGGTGGGGGTATGCATACTTTCTGGAACTATACATTGAACCAAAAGGTATCCATGCTATCCATAGACTTTACTCTATAATATGTTTCTTTTTAATCATTTTTATACTTTTGTTTTTGTATCYGTAGATCATGCAACTGCCGAAAGAGTCTCCTTAACAGTTTACTGTCTCAAAAATGAYGTACTGGGCATCTTGTCCTCCCACACGTTTTTGTATTACCTTGAAACAGAGCATATTTTGGCAGAACTGCTTGCCCAGAATATCTCAGACTCTAAATTCTTAGAATCACTTGTTCCGTTGTGTTCTTCTGTATCCAACAATGTTTCTTGCAATTTGAGAGAAGCCCTGGACTTTAGGATTACCAATGCCTTTGAATTACTTGATTTCTCTCCATCATGGACAATTCTTGGTGATGAAAGTGATGAAGTGGATAATGGTGAGTTCATAATTTCTTAAGAAATTGTATTGTCAAAAATTGTACAAGTTCTTATTAGGGGACTAAAAGCGAACGATTTTTTTTTTTTGTGTGTGTGTGTGGCTGACTACAGCCCGATTTATCTTATTTACAATTGGTGGATATTGGTAGTAGGAATTTTTTGATAAAGTGCAAGACATTTTTGGCACAAAATGATTTATGAATGTCATAAGAATTTCCTATTTATCATCCTAATTAAGGCCGGTTTAGACGGTACGATTTTCGCCTACAACTATCGTATACAACGCGCTCGCGCCATTCTACAACCCGAGTCGTAGCGTGTAAATGAAGCCTACAACTCGCCTACGACAGACGCGAGCGCCCGGCCTTTAGGATTCAGATGTGATTAACTGTGATTATCTGCTTTCTCTAATATGTATTTTCACTACCAGYCTTTCTTCTACCAATAACTGCACTTTCGCCACCATGTTGAAATCTGTTTGCTACCAAAGGGAATCATCAAACCAGTAACATATTATCAAACCAATGAGCTGTAATAAAGCTTTATAAACATGTTTTTGAATAGCAGCTTTACATATTTTTTTAGCAGTTAATGTTGAAAAATGATGACACAAATTTTGTACCAAAATTCCAACTTTACTATATGAAATCTTCATACCAAGGGCACTAGGACACCGAATGTGGTTGGATTTCTATAGGTTTTTTTCCTTTCGATTATTTAATAGATAATTACTGAGGCRCGCAGCATTCGTAGGTATAATGCAGGCAGCTGAGGGCGTAGCCCGAAGTGATTATCTAGTATAATTATTGTTCTTATCAAAGTCCAATTGTTTTCTTTCTAGCTTGTTTATCATAGAAACAAAGCCAACAATGAATGAACTAAATATGTCTGAATTTCCTCTATGCATTCGTTGGGATAATGCAGACTGAAAACAATGGATTTCGATAAGATCAGTAATTATTCACTCTGTAGTTTATGAGCGATGTACTTCTTGAATTTTGTCATTAATAATTAGTTCCAGAATATGATATAGCTGTATGAGGAGTAAAGAACATCGTTAAGGTGCATTAGGAATCCAACCATAATTCTAAGAAATATTCATCGATTAAAATTTCGTGCGATCAAGGTCACGCTGTTGCACTCTCAACACTGCCCGTGATCAACATTTCGGAATCCCTTAATCGGCACGAGAAACCTATAAAAAAATCTTCGTAGGTGCAACTATCGAATACCCCGCACTTCAAACCACCCTTTAAATGTTTGGATACGCGGACACGCAGTGAAGAACACCACCCCTCCCCCTCCCCCTATAGATATGAAGGTATATCTTAAAGTGGATAAGCAGATACGCGGACACGCAGTGAAGACTGAGACCACCCCTCCCCTATAGATATGAATATGGGGGAGGGGTGGTCTCAGTCTTCACTGGTTATCCGCGTATTTGCGTATCCACTTCAACATAAACCTTCATATCTATAGGGGGAGGAGTGGTCTTCACTGCGTATCCGCGTATCCACTGCAACATAAACCTTCTTATTCATAGGGGGAGGGGTGGTCTTTTTCACTGCATATCCRCGTATCCGCGTATCCACTCCAACATAAACCTTCATATCTACAAGTAGTCTCCCACACAGCCGCTTACAGTGTCGTCACGCAACGCTTTCTCCCCTGACTTAGCCAGGGGAGAAAGCGTTGCGTGACGACACTGAAAGCGGCTATGGGGGAGACTAATCTACAAGGGGAGGGGTGGACTTATTCACTGCGTATCCGCGTATCCAAACGTTTAAGGAATGGTTTGAAGTGCGGGGTATTCGATAGTTACTTTAAGGCATCTGTTTACAGAAAAGGTTTTGAAATTACGAACGGAAAGTTGAATAAACTCGACCTCGGAAGCCTCTGGAGTACTGACAGTGAGTCGACAGTGATACCTTGCTGCAAATACAAACGCGATGCGTTACGTCAACGTATCACGCGTTTGTATTTTATAGATTACAGTTATATCATGATATGTTCTTTTGATTTATTTGGACCTGATACTGATTTCCATTTTGTAGCTCTAGAATATTATTTTAGTATGAACTCTGAAATTCATCTGTAATAAGATTGTTTTTGAGACGCGGTTTGTGTTTCGCGTCACCAAGCGTAGTGATCAAACTCTATTCTATAAATGAAACCGGGMAAACTACCCGATTTTCATAAGAAATGGTTGCTTGTTTATAAAAATATTTATCATRAAAACACGTGTTTTACTTCAAGGAAATTTACATAAATACTACTAGCATGAAGGCGATTGAAAGGAAGACAAACATTACTAATAAGTCGAAGACTTTCAGAAGCGGACGAAATGTGTGACAATAACAAGTGTAACGACTTGTCAATAGCGGGGYGCAACCGTGACGTCATAAAAACGAAGACAAAGGCGAAATTCGGACAAACAAAATTACAAGTTTACTTTCAGAGATAATTTTCACAGCCGATCGCAGTTGATCTTAGTTTACATGGGTTATTATTGTAACTTTAAGTAAAAATAATAAAATCGGCTCGTATAATCCTCGTAGCGGTTAAACAGAATGCAATGTTTGTCCAAATCTTTAAAGCTATTTTTAGAATCAGTGCGCTGCGCTATTGAATATGGCAAACTACCCGATTTATGTGAGAAATCTTTGCTTGCTTTCCGAAATATTTTATTAAGAACACACATGTTTCTTCTCCAAGAAAGGTCATATGAATAAGGAGGCTATTAAAGTAGAAGAAACGTTACAAATGAGTCAAATACCCCATTCACACCTAAACGTGTTTTAGTTAAACTATGTTTTCATTAGGAAAAAAATTGAGAAACTAGAAACCTACAATATAATGAAACTTTGTAAAATATTATCAGAGCAAGACAAAGGATAGCTTACATGCATTATTTCACCAAATATTGTGCAGTGTTCGTAGATAGTTTTCCAAGCCTGTTTAGTTAAACCACTTTAAAACGTGTTTAAGCCTTGGTGTGAATGGGGAAAAAACTTTAGATGCGAAAGAGGTGATGTGTGTCATACGCAGCAGTGAAAATGGCAAACTACCCGATTTTCGTAAGAAATCTTTGCTTRTTTACCAAAATATTTRGCAAAAACACACATGTTTCAAAATTACGAATGAGAAATATTACGAATGAGTCAAAAACTTTCTACGCCAAAGAACTATCAGGTTAATAAGCCTGCGAACTACAACTGCTGAAAACAACTTGTTTGTCTCAAAGGTTTTGATTCTTTCGCAATGTTTCTCTTATTTTATTCACCAGCGCTCTCTTTCTTTTGTGGTATATTTTCCGTGTCAAGCTAAAGATAGGTTTCAGAACTTATGCGWAAGCGAAATAATACTGAGGAAAGATCACTACGGCATTACGGCAACTACGGCGTACTAACTTGAATTACGAATAATTTATCGGACTTACGAAAKTTTGTTGTCAACTTTTTTACTTTTCGTTACTTTTTGTCGTTCTTGGATTTATACTATRAAATATAACTCAAATCGTTAAACTTCTAATTAAATAARGCCATCCCCATTTTTATTTTTGTTTCCCGTCGCCTAGAGTCTTCCTTGGGTGGGTCGGTCGGTCGAAAAATAATAATAAATAAAAWWAAAAAAAGAAGAAATAAAGTCAAAACGGGAAACCTGTGGAGGGTTTTTTCTTGTTAAGCGTACTAAGCTAAATACATGCAAACCCTCTGAAGATGTCCAGGGTCGCACTAGGCAAAGTTTGGTAGAATTTGGTGTCTTAAGGAGGCTCTGGTTAGTTTTGGTCTGGCACACCTAGCCGCATTGGAACGGCTACGACTTCGTCTTGAATAACTCGATCTGCAAGTACTTTTCACACGTCAGGAAAGGACTAAAGGTTTCAAAAATGATAAATTAGTTTAAAACAGCCTTTTTATTATGACGTAATGATGACATCATAGAAATCGTTTACCGCTTATTTTCTCGAAAACTAGACCTGGTTTGAAGCTCTCAACTGACCCAAGGTTTAACCGTTCAAATGAGATACTTGAAGCCCAGCTAGTTCAAATGAAGCGAAAAAACACGGAGGATACACAACACAGGCCAGTAGAAAACCAAAATCTATTGAAGTTGAAAACTTCCAAGGCTCTCTCCCTTAATGATCCATGGAGTCTGTTAAGGAATGTCTGGTTTCATCTGATCCTGTTTTTTTGCCGGAGAGGAAGAGAAGGCCARCGAGAGCTAAAGACATCAAGCTTGAAGTTTGAAGTTAATGCAAGCGGGCAACACTACGCTACAATGGCGCACGACGAAGCCACCAAGAACCACCCGGGCGGCATAAATGATGTAAACTCCTCAGAGAAAAAAGCTCGAATGCGGTATGAAACTGACTACCCAAACGACGGCTACAAAGCTCTGCGCTTCTATTTGCCAAAGACCAATCCAAATTGCGAATCCCTCTTCCAGTATCCGAAGAGAAATTGGTCCCCAACAGACTACGTGTGGTATGAAAACAGGCCCGTTGGCGTCAATAAGCTGGACGGAATGATATGAAAGAGATTAGTAAAGAGGCCAAATTATCTCGCCCATACAATAACCATTCAGTCCGAGCCACATCAATCACAGTGATGTCAAATGCAGGCATTCCTAATCGCCATATAATGGCCATATCTGGGCATCGAAACGAGCAGAGTTTGTCACACTACAATACGAGGCCTTCGACCGAACAACTGCACCACTGTTCTGAAGTGCTGTCCCAAAGTTACACTTCCTCAAGCCAAGCGATTGTCCCGGCTACTGTTCATCTAAACACAGCTGTTAAAAACAACAATGTGGTTGTAGAAGTTGCAAGACAATGTCCGACGAGCCAGTTTAGCTCCATCTTTAGCAACAGTTTAAAACGTTCAACTGGTCATTCACGAGAAGTGATCGCTGATCTATCGCAACGGGTGTAGACCATGAACATAAGCTCTGTGATTCATCTTAGTGCAAAATTTTGGTCAGATCTATACAGAGCGGACAAAAGCACCAAAATTTGCATAAATGTAGATTAGAGTATGGTAATTAATATTAGGACCGGTGCCCATTTCAATCTCTTCAGGATTCCATATTAATTGGACTTTAATTTTCTGAAAAAAGTTAGTTATGGGCGCCCTGTGGTCGATATCTTAAAAATGTGGTTTTTGATCGATATTCTTTTTAAAATTCATATTTTTGATTCCAAATAGCTAGTACTGTTTGCTATTATCATTTCCATTAATAAATATATTTCAAACATCGAAATAATGGTGAGTTTTCAAATAAATACTTATCAAGCTCGTACCCAGTCCTCAACTCGGTCATCCAAGATAATAGACAAAAAATACCCATTTTCTTCTAAACGTATTCTTTCGCACCATGCACGGTCTGATCTCGCTTGGCCGCTTTCCAATTTACTCCCGAAGCATAGTAATATACATTTTTTTAAATTCAAACGTGGGACGTTTGTCACAACTCTGTATTACCATGCTTCGAGAGTAAATCGGAAAGCGGCCAAGCGAGATCAGACCGTGCATGGTGCAAAAGAATTTGGTGTTATGGTCATTAGCAAACAATAGAATTCCCAGAGCATCAAATCGTTGGGAAACGATCAATGTTTTCTGTATTTCTCGTTCGCTTTAGACCGCTTTAAATGAGTTCAATAGTCTTGCAATTTTGTRTAATATTAGTTTAAGTTCTAATTTGTATACTGATGTAGTTTTGAGAGAAATGATCAACGAATTTTAGAATAATGGAAGTTCTAGTAAGATTGACTAGARWACTGCGATGAAAARTGMGCATCAAATGTTTACCCCGTCTACTGCACTATACATTTTCACAAAATCGCATAAGTCGATTACCTTCAAAATGTTCCTTTTAAAACTAGATGCAGAGTAAAACTAAATGAGCAATGACTTTTGTGAATATATATATCTGAAATATTAATTTTGGCCGTATGAAATCCATTGTTTAGTTTTGAAGTAGATTATGCACTATATTTAAATAATCCCAAATATCTCATAATCAGCTAGATAGATTTTTTCAAAAATCCCCACAAATGGAGGCATCCAGTATATAATTATGTGGTACGAAGCATTTTAGTGTTGAACGCTCTGCAAGGCTGAAATTTTTTCTAAACGAAAACAAATATTTCATCATAATCACGTGTTATGACGTCCGATCTCACTAAAAACTGCATCAAACATTAATTCAATCTTTATGTGACTTATGTGCAAAAAAGATTTGCAATCGGATAAAACCCGTTTATGCACCAGCGTTCCAAAAGTGGAAGGTAGCGGTCAAGCGTGAGGGGGTCCAGCCACCTTAAATATGGGGTGAAATGTAGAGAAATGGTAATTAGCTTAACTATTGAATTCAAAGGATTTGGAGATCATTTCTGATAGAAAGAACTATAAAGCTGCAATTTAATAAAATAGGTTTTCTAAAATGCTTTAGTTTATGATTCTTTGTCAATAAAACTTAAACCTTAGGAAATTATCTCTTAAATGGGCCTGGATTAAAATCGTTAATATTGTATTTCTGCAATCAAGTTTATATATGTATGTGTAATGTAAAACTTTGTTGTTTTTGCTTTGTTTTGTTAGGCTTCGAAACAACATTGCTACATTTGTCTGCCCACCTTGGCTTCAGCCAATTTGCTTCATTTTTAATGGACCATCCTGGAGCTAGTCATGCTTTGGAAATTCAGGATAGAAATGGAAAGCTGCCTGTTGACATTGCTAAAGATAAAGGGTTACAGACCCTAGTTGATGTATTTTTAAGGTATGGTTAAATATACAGTTGTAAAATTGATATCATTGTAAGAACCATGATTGTATATCTGTTGTACTCAGTTTGGAACCTAACTCTGTTTTGCCCACCATATGCCATGATGGATTCATTTCTATTTTCATTGCGGTAAATATACGGTTCATGTAAAAATAAGACTCTTCATATAGATAACCAAATATCTTTATGTAGAAAAAGAAGTAAGAGTAAGATTATATTTTGCTTACCAATTTTTTAAACCAGTTTCAAGTCTGTTTTGCAGTGTTGATTTGTCCTTGACAAATTCGGAAGTCTTTAAAATTTGGATTTTAATGAAAGACATCCAAGATAAATTTTCACTAAACCTGATATTGTATTGGATTTTGAACTTATTTTTCGTTTTTCAAGTAAAAATAACCAGGAATTCAAAGCGTAAAATGTATTTTCGTAAACATCCTGACGATATAACCTGCCATAAGTAATTTGTTTGCCTTGAGCATGCTCAAAAATTTTGAGCATTCCCATGGACATTGTATTTTTATCTTAATTTTATGATGCCTTGAGCATGCTCTTAACAAATCGAAGTCAGTTTTTTATGGGTCTGCACTGTAATCGAACATGAAATGACTTCGAAAATGATCCAAACTCAAGTGGAAAGTTTCACTGTAAAGTTTGGATCATTTTTGACGTCATTTCATATTCGATTACAGTACAGACCCATAGAAAACTGACTT